TCATAGGTCAGATGGTGAAAAGTTTTATGGACACATATAAAGTGGGGTAGGGGGTCAGGGCACTGCAGTTTTCAGTAGTGTGACCATGGCCTCACTGAGAAAATGACATCTGAATGAGATGTGAAAGAGGAAAGGAAGCGAGCTCTGGGGCATCTACAGGAACAGCGTCCCAGGCAGAGGGAACAGCAATCGCAGAGCACCTGAGGTCGGTGTGTGTGTAATGCTGGATGTGCTGCCAGAGGCTGATGTGGCTGGAGAGGGGTGAGCCTAGGGGTCAGTGGAAGGTGATGAGGGCTCTCATCTGACCCCTGTGGATGTAGGCAAGGGGGTGGAAAGTCAGAGTCTTGCAGCTATGACCCCAAGAGGCCAGGCAGCTCTGCAAGAGGTGATCTCCAGCTTCTGGGTGGCTTTGACCTGTGGGAAGGAACAACAGTCACTGCTTCCTCTAATCATTTCAGGTGGTTCTTTCATTAGTCTCCAGTAGTTTTCTCACCTGAATGCCCTTATTTTGGAACTCAGTTAAAAATTCAAGGGCATCTGTTGGGGACCGCCTGCCTGGTTTCAGGAGCTGTAACACCCCCTGCCCCCCATGGTTAAGGCTGAGTGAGACACCTCCGGACCAGAAGCCACTAAGGAGACAAGCTTATCTCCCTGGCAGGAGCACTGCTTCTCCTTCTTGCCTGGCCCCCAATGCTTGATCAGTTAGCCAATGATGGGTGAGATTTCCCAAGGGAGGAATCACCTAAGACAGGCATGATGGACCTGGGGTGATCGACCCTTGCCCCTCGGCTTTGACAAAGCCTGAGTCCTCATTCTGCCTGCAAGACATCCAAATTTCCCAGCTGCCTTTGTCTCCTCTGCCCGACTCAAGCCTGTGACAATAACAAGAGGTGGTGCAATCCACACTGGGGACCGCGGACTTCCCGGGATGATCAGACCTGAAAAAGGAATATGTAAAATCCCGTGAAGCCTGCTTGCTGAGGATGCTGTTAATTAGATTATGAAGGCCTGGGAAGGAAATGAATTTAGCTCCTCAAGTTCTGTAGTTTTTTAGGTGATAAGACCCCAACTCAGTGGGAGCCCTTTTTAGTTCTTTGAACATTATCTATTGTTTGATCCTTACTACCTGACAATGATTAATGAACTTTACCTGTATCCCTGTGCAAATTGAAAGCCAATAAAAACCCTGTGAAGGAAGGATCGGGGCGCTCTCCTTTGAGAGAGTGGCCAGGCCGCTCTGAGGCACCCTCCCCTTGAGAGGGTAGCCGGGCTGCCCCTTTTCCTCCACACAGGACTCAGTAGTCCTTGTGAATGTCTCACGTCTCATCCATGACCCCGCGGACACTGCAGGCCGGTGTCTGCATCAGGCATCACTCTGCAGATGCCCGGAGTTTTTCTCTCTATAAAGCAATCTTCACTGTCTGCGACCTTTAGTCTCCTGGACCTCCCCAGATTCCCAGCCCGGCCTCTTCCTCTCCCAGGTCTGTCTCCTCCACCAGGTGCTGCTTAAATTTTCTTTCCCTGTGAAACTTTGTTCAGGCAGTAAACTGGAGAAATCACTGGACTCATCTCATTTATTTCCCATCCCTCAGAGATCGCTAGCCTTTTAAAAATTCATTTCATTATTTATTGATTTTAGAGAGAGAGGAAAGGAGGGAGAGAGGGTGGAGAGGGAGAGACAGAGACAGAGACAGAAACATCGATTTGTCGTTTCACTTATTTATGCATTCATTGGCTGGCTCTTGCATGTATCCTGACTGGGGATTGAACCTTCAACCTTGGCTAACCTGGCTTTTTTTTTTCTAAAAGGGAAGAAACAAATCACTAATATGGAAAGGAAATAGGGCTACCACTACTGATGCCATGGACATAAAAGAATAATAAAGGAACACTAAAATAACACTATGCCCCCAAGCTTTGTAACCTAAACGAAATGGTCCAGTTCCTTAAAAACAATCTAACAAAAGTCATACAAGGAGACATAGATAATCTGAATAGGTCTATATCTATTAAAGTAATTGAATCAATAATGAATAACCCTCCAAAATAGAAAGCATCAGGCCCAAGTGTTTTCATTGGTGAATTCTACCAAACATGTAAGGGAAAAAAATGATGCCAATTCTCTACAATCTCTATGTTCCACCTTCTCATCCAATCCTCTGGCCCCTGGCAACTACTGATCTTTTTACTATCTCTTTGGTTTTGCTTATTCCAGAATGTTATATAGTTGGAATCATACCTTTACAAATTTTGAAGATTAATTATAGATGAGGCATGAACTGACCACTTCCTGTTATCTTAGGAAAAAATCTTCCATTTCTTTTCATTGTGGTCAAGTTGTACTTCCTGGAATGAGGTGTTTCATGGAGAACTTCATCCAGTGTCCATTTGCAGTCTGGTGCAACCAGATAACAATGCTGGTTTTCCAAGATCTTATGTTCCTGGGTCTTTTTTTTATTATTATATTTTATTGATTATGCTATTCCAGTTGTCCTGATTTTTCACCCTTTGCCCTCTCTGCCTACACCCTCCATTCCTTCAGGCAATCCCTCCATCATTGGTCATGTCCATGGGTCATGCGTATAAGTTCTTTGGCTACTCCATTTCCTGTACTAGACTTTACATCCCTGTGGCTATTCTGTAACTACCTATTTGTACTTCTTTGTTCCCTCACCTCTACTCCCATTCCCCCACACCACCCTCCCATCTGGCAACCTTCTGGTAACTAACTTTTCTCTTGCTTTTAAGAGTCTCTCTTTCTCTTTAACCTTTGGCCTTTTACTAATGGTGTGTCTTGGAGTGGCCCTCTTTGCATCCATCATAATTGGGACTCTATGTATTTCCTGGACTTGCATGTCTATTTCCTTCAGCAAATTAGAGAAGTTTTCTTTCATTGTTTTTTCAGATAGACTTTGAATTTCTTGCTTTTTCTCTTCTCTTTCTGGCACCCCTGTAAGGCAGATGTTGGACCTCTTAAAGCTGTCCCAGAAGCTGTTTGTACTATCCTCATGTTTTTGGATTCTTTTTTTCTCTTGTTTTTCTGTGTGGTTGTTTTTTACTTCCTTATATTCCAAATCATTGATTTCATTCCCAGCTTCGCCCATTTTACTGTTGTTTTCCCTGTAAGTGGTTCTTTATTTCAATTAGTGTATCTTTTGTTTCTGACTGGGTCTTTTATTGCTGCTGAGGTCTGAATGGGTCTTTTTTATGCTGCTGAGGTCCTCACTACGTTCCTTGAGCATCCTTATTACCAGTGTTTTGAACTCTGCATCTGATAGATTGTTTATCTCCATTTCATTTAGCCCCTTTTCCTAGAGTTTTGACCTGTTCTTTCATGTTTCTTTGTCTCCTCAGTTTGGCAGCTTCTCTGTTTGTTTCTATGTATTAGGTAGAGGTGCTTTGATTCTGTGTCTTGGTAGTGTGGCCTAATATAGTAGATGTCCTGTAGTGTCCAGTGGCACAGCCTTTCCTATCATACGAGCTGGGTACTCAAGGTACTCCCTTTGTGTGGGCTGAGCCCTCCTCTTGTAGTTGAGCCTTGGTTGCTGTTGGCAGATCAATGCAAGGGATTTACCCAGGCCAGTCAGCTGCAAGGACTGACTGTGACCACTTACCACCAACGTCCACCCTCTATGGAGGATCAACCATACAGGGGTAGGGTGGTGGTGCTCCCATATGGTCTATAGCTGTCCACTTGGTGGTTGGTCCCGGGGTTTCCCAGGTGGTGCAGACCAAGGTCAGCCCCCACCTGTGTTTTGCCCATGCAGCTCAGGGCACGGTGCCTGAACTGCAAAGCAATCTGAGATGGCTGCTACTTGTGCTGGGCTTGGAGACACCCAGGTGAAGCCAAGCTGTGACTCCAGTCTGGCAGCTGCTAAGGCTCACTGAAGATAGCTGTTACTTGTTTAGTAGGATTTAGGAGCCACAATCAGCCATTCTTATGGGAAAACAGCTTGGCTGGGGGAGAGTCTCTGTGGATCTCCAAGATGGGTCACACAGTGTTAGCCAGGTTGATGGAGTCTCATATGGCATCAGCCTACCAGCTCTATGGGAGGGAAGGCTCAGCAAAGGGACAATGGCCTCTGCTCGCCCTGATGCCAGACACTTCAGTCTCTTCCTATATACCACTGGTGCCTTTCAAGCTGCCATCCCAGTGCTGGAGCTCAAAGGGAGTGAGTCTGAGTAGATGAGTCCATGTGTGGGTTTCCTAAGACGAACTGCTTAGGGATCTGGCAGCCTCCTCCACTGACTCCATCCCTGCTGCTTTTCACAGCCATAAATTGTCCGGATTTATTTCCTGGCACTGGAATACTGGGTTGGGGGGCCTGGTGTGGGCCTGCAACCTCTTGCTCCTGAGATATCACTCCTGAACTTTTATCCATGTGTGTGGGGCCAGCCTGTTCTGTGTCTGTGCCACAACCCAAGCACGTGCCCTGACTGGGACCTGAACCCATGACCTTTCGGTTGGCAGGCGGGTGCTCAATCCACTGAGCCAGACCAGCCAGGGTGGACATTTAAATTGAAAAAATTGCCTGTTTGTGACCTTTGCCAACTTTTATTTCTGGTTATTTTCCTATTTCCTCTGCTTACAGGCCTCATCAGTCTGGGAGCTCCTTGGAGACAAGTGCAGTATCTCAGTTTCTTTTCTCTAACCTCAGTCCAGAACAGTGTTTGGTATTTTATTCCCAAAATGCTTGCTAAAATGGAATTGAATGAACTTAATTTACTGTCATAACCCTTTGGAGACTTTACCATTATTATTTCTATTTTACAGATGAGGAACACAAGACGCAGAGGTTGAATAATAATATTCAGTCTCACGAACGGCACAATTGGGATTACAGTCAGGCCTTCTGATTTTAAAGCACGGGTTTACGGAAATTGTCCTCCATTCCCTCCAGAGATGTTTGCCCGCGACCTGTCTTCTTTCGGGTACCAACTGAGGATTATAAATGAATTTAAACAACATTAACCTCCCTTAGGCACAACGCGTCCCTTCCTTTTTCCACGGTAGGAAAAAAGGCGCCTCTTCTTTTCCTTCCGCTTTGTGCTTCGTGGCTCTTTTGGCCCCGGCGACTCGCCATCGCCCGTGAGGAGGCGTTTGCGAGCTGAGGTGATGGCGACTGGGACGCCCGATTCGCAGGCGCGATTCGGCCAGTCGGTGAAGGGGCTTCTCACGGAGAAGGTGAACACCTGCGGCACTGACGTGATCGCCCTCACTAAGCAGGTGCTGAAGGGCTCCCGGAGCTCGGAGGTGAGCTGGCGGCGCCGTCTCGGGGCCTCACCGCCCAGGGGGCTCCCCTCTCTCAGAGTTGTGGGTCTGGGAGTCGCGCTGCATCTTGGGAGCTGTAGGCGGTGCGCGCTGGCGAGGGGGCAGCTGGTTCGCGGAGGGCTAGCTTAGCGTTCTGGGATGCGGGATGCGCAGTCTTTGCGGGACGAGCAGTGCAGACGGGGGAGCAACGACTGGAGGGAATCTGTGCTTTCCATCGGGGGCAGGGCATATAAAGAAGCAAGCAGTGAACGCATCAGGTGGACCGACAAATCCTTGTTTGTCCGTCTCTCTCCCCCCCCGTCCCCCTCCCCCTTTCCCTTCCTTTCTTTCTCTCTCGCTTCCTCACTCAAATCAACACATTAAAAATTTGAAAAGAGAAAGGGAGCGCCTTGATTTAAGTATATAAAAACAACAAAAATCAAAAACGAGGATTGTCGCAGAAGGACGGAGGAGATAGTGGTCCTAACCAGTTGCTCATTTGTTTCTCGGGGTCGTCTCGGTCCATGTTGGCCCCCAGTTCTGTGTGGTTTCACCCTCAACATCCCAGATTTCTTTCATACGTTTGTGCATCATCTGTCCTGTGGATTTATTCTTTTCTGATTCGTCTTTCTGCGCACGTTCTTGGTTTTCTGTTTCTTTTAGATTAAGTTTCTTCTTTGTCCTGATTACCTCATCAGATCGGTTTTATGTATGAAATTATTCGATGTCTTTTTCACACCACAAAGCTTTACATACTACTTTGTCCAAAAAAAGACCTATCCATCGTGCTCCTAGATATTCACCCAAGTTAAATGAAAAAAATATATATGTCTGTACAAAGGCTCGTACATATTCATAGCACCTTTATCTATAATATCCCCGAACTGGAAACAACCCAATGCCCATTGACAGGTGAGTGGACAAACAAAATGGGTGTAATGACCAAGCCATTCCATTCCTAGTTTTTTATCCAAGAGAAATGGGAAATATGCTCATCATCGTGTTACATAAACCAACCACACATTATATACCAGCTGGGATTTAGAGTGCTGCTTTCTTTGAAGTGGAACAACATCTTGAATACACCTGTAAAACAATGTGAGTACAGAGTCTTTTTAGATTTCTATGGCTTTGTCCTGTAGGCCATGTCTTTCTCGTAATTACCTCAGTAGTGTATCTAAGCTACTTGTCTTCAAGAAGAATTTTTTATTTTCAACTCAGCTTTCATAGAAATAGCAACTCTTTCTCTTTTTTTATTCATATTACATTAGTTTCTATATTACAGTCCTCCCTCCCTATATCGCAGTTCTGAACTGCGATATAGGGAGGGAGGACTGTATACTTCACTGGTGAGTACCCATATAGAATTTTATATGTTGTTAGAATTATGTAAGTTTAAGAGTGTAGAAAGTGTTTAAGAGCGTATGAAGTGTTTATAAGAGTGTGGGAAAGGTTAATAAGAGAGTGGGAAAGGTTTATAGGAGTGTGGGAACGGCTTATAGAGCCTTAAAATATATATAAATAATAAAATAAATATAACACTGCTACTTCACGGATTTTCACCTATGCGGGGGTCTCCGGAATGTAACTCCCGCAACAGGTAAGGGATCACTGTGTTTCATTAAGTTACATAGTTGCAATAGCAAGCATAATATGCCCGCAAGTCTTGAGACTTATATATGAATGTTCATAGCAGCTTTATTCATATTCGTTTAGGGTCCAATGGCATTGCCTTTACAGGGTAAGCTTTCATCTTATATCCTTAGCTTCTACTGACAGTGGCTACAAGAAACAACTACATGAAAATAGTGTTTGCCTTTACCATAACACTGTTGTTGAAGTCACTGATCTGGTGATCCCAAATACGCTTTGTGTGAGGTCCCACACAATGCACTCATTTTAGGATTCAGTATCAGAAAAGTTATCTGTTTTGAAGAATTGTTATGTTGCTTTTTGCTAAGTAAGAATCATGCAACTTGTGTTCCACTTTTTGCCTTGGTTGCACAGAAGTTTCTACGCCAGTTTTAGTGGTAGACATATTTACTTCCTTCTTTTCGTGACTTAGCTTCTATTTCCGTTTTTAAAATGCGTGTGTATATGTGCACCACACATTTAGTTTGGTATAAATTGCCTTGAATTTTTTTTTGAGAGAAATGCAGTACAAACATATAAATTGGAAAAAGTAGATGGTGTTCATAGTTATCCACTAATGTGTACTGAAAATCTATACTTATAATAAACTTCCATTGACTGAGCATCTGCTATGTGCTGGACACTGGTGTGTTACGTAGTTTAATTTATGAAGTCTGTATAATCATTAATAAAGGAGGTAGTTTTCTTACACAGGACACAGAGAGGAATTTAATTTGTGCAAGGTCACACCGTAGCTAGGAAGGGGCAGAGCTAGTGTTCAAACATAGGCATGTTGGCTTTAGGCCCACGTTCTTGGACACCACCTCTCATGTGGCACTAGCTGGATAAGTGGCCAAAAAGCCACTGTGCCACCATTGACTGCCCCAGTGTGGCTTGTTCCTTTCTGTTCCTGCCCCTCCTCATGTATTCTTCACACGGGCTGATTCTGTAGTAGTTTTAGATAGGGTATTCAATAAGGGGTGTGACTGGAGTTAAGCTGAAACCAGTCCAGCTTTCTGGGACAGGGTTGACGTACAGTCTCTCAAATCTCTGAACTTTGTCTTTAAAAAAAATATTTATTTATAGAGAGAGGAAAAGGGAGGAAGAAAGAGACGGAGATAAATATTGATCAGTTGCCTCTTGTACTGAACCTGCAACCCAGGTATGTGCCATACCGTCAACCTTTCTCTTTGTGGGATGACGTCCACCTGAGTCACACTGGTCAGGGCTTTTAAAATAAGTTTTTAAATACGTTTTTATTTTTTAATCACAGTTGACATACAATATCATATTAATTTTAGGTATGCAACATAGTGATTACACATTTCTATAACTTACAGAGTAATCACCCTGATAAATCTAGTGTCCATGTGACACCGTACATTGTTATTGCAATATTATTGACCATATTCTTTAAGCTGTACTTTAAATCCCCATGACTATTGTGTAACTACCAATTTGTACTTCTTAATCCTTCCCCCTTTTTACCAGCCCTCCTCCAATCTGGCAACCATCAAAATGTTCTCTGTGTTGCCCTGGCTGAGTAGCGCAGCTGGTTAGCGCATCATCCAGCTATGCCAAGGTTGCAGTTCATTCTCTGGTCAGAGCACATACCAGAATCAACCAAGGAATTCAAAAATAAGTGGAACAACAAATCAGTGTTTCTTTCTCTAAAAATCAATAAATTAAAAAAACACTACTAAGTTGTTAAGAAAAAGGTTCTCTGTATGAGTGTGTTTCTCTTTTGTTTGTTCATTTATTTTGTTTTTTAGATTCTACATATAAGTGAAATCATATGGCATTTTTCCTCTGCCTGACATTTCATTTAGCACAATACCCTCTAGGTCCATCCATGTTGTTGCAGATGGCAAGATTTCATTCTTTTTATGGCTGAATCATATTCCATTGTCCACATGCACCACCTCTCCTTTATCCACGCGTTTACTGATGGACATGTAGGTTACTTCTGTATTTCCTTATGTGCATTTATCTGAAGAAGCCCAAAACATAAATTTGAAAAGACACGTGCATGTATACGTTCATTGCAGCATTATTTACTCTGTTCATTGCAGCATTATTTATAATAGGTAAATAATGTGCCATTCAACTTCTGTACGTCTTTTGATTGGAGCATTTACTTTTAAAGTAATTGATATGTAGTTCTTGCTATTTTATTCATATTTTTACTCTCTTTTTGACTGTGTTCATTGCAGCATTATTTCTCTATTTTAAATAATGCTGCAATGAACATATGGATGCATGTATTTTCAAGTTAGTGTTTTGGGCTTCTTCAGATAAATACTGGAAGTAGAATGGCTGGGCCTTTCTTTGTTTCTTGTTATAGCCTTTGTTTCTTGTTATAGCCTTTGTTTTAAAGCCTGTTTTGCCATGCTACTCCAGCTTTCTGTTTTTGTTTTTGTTTTCAATATCATGAAATATTTTTTCCATCCCTTTACTTTCAGTGGTGCATTCCTTCTGGTCTGAAGTGAGTCTTTTGTGGACAACATGTGTAAGGGTCTTGTTTTCATAGCCGTTCAACCTCTATATGTCTTTTGATTGGAGCATTTACATTTAAATTTTTTCCACTTTACTTTTTTTAATCCTCACCTGAGGATATGTTTTTATTGATTTTAGAGAGAGAGAAAGGGGAGGCAGAGAGAGAGAGAGAGAAACATCAACACTTGCCTCCTGTACATGCCCAACAGGGTATGTAACCTGCAGCCTAGGTATGTGCCCTGACCTGGGATCGAACCTTCAACCTTTTGGTGTACGGGATGACGCTCCAACCAACTGATCCACCTGGCCAGGGCTACTCCATTTACATTTAATGTAATTTATAGATATGTAGTTATTGCCATCTTATTATTCATATTTTTGCTCCTTTTTCTTCTTAAAGAAATCCCGTTAACATTTCTTGTAATACTGGTTTGGTGGTGATGAACTCCTTCAGCTTTTATTGTTTGGGAAGCTCTTTATCTGTCCTTCAATTCTAAATGATAGCTTTGCTGGGTAGGGTAATCTTGAGCTTATGCGTTTGCTTTTCATGACCTCTAGTATTTGGGCCAATCCCTTCTGGTCTGCAGACTTCCTGTTGAGAAATCAGCTGATGAGATCAGTATTTTATTTTATTTTTATTTTTGTTTTCTGAGAGTACATTTATTAAAGCTGGGGACAGTGGAACAAGGAAGGGCGTAGGCTAGGAGAAGCAACAGGAGAGCCTAGGCAGGGCTGCTCTGGCTCAGTGGGAAGTCAGAGGAAAGAGGCCTTGGAGACAGGTCCCAGGGGTGATCCCGGGACCAGCTGCTACTTGCCCGTTCCTCCCCTGGTTGCCAGTCTCAGGGGGACCCTTGGCGTTAAGGAGATGCATGCTTGAGAGGGAGGAGGAAGGGGAAGGGAAAGGTGTACTCCCGGGAGAGGGAGCACACACTGAACTGTGTCTTTTTACCGGATCTCTTCTTACATGATACTTATCACAACTGCAGTGGCTAGCATATTTTTGCCATTTCCTTTGGTTGGCTATGAGGTTATTGGAGTGTCTTTACGTATTTTCAGTCCTCCTCAGACCATACAGCATTGTTTCTCTCCAGCAGATTCCACAGAGCTATTTTGTTTGATGAACTGACACTTTCCATATGTAAAACATTCATTCCCCAGCATTCATTTAATAACTATTTATTGAGTACCTGCTGTGTGTCAGGAGAGGATGGTAAAAAAGACAACAACCCAAAAAACTAAGTCGCTGTACTTAGCAAGCTTACATTTTGGTAACGAGACAAACAAATGAAACGTACCAAAAAATCAGGTGGTTTTAAATGCTCTGAAGAAAAATAAAGCTGGGAATAGCGGATGACAAAAAGGCGCACCAAAATACCGTAGGGTGGCCGGGGAAGGGCTCTCTGAGAGTGTGACGTTCCAGCAGACGCTTGAATGAAGTGAGGGAGCGAGCCAGGCGGGTGCACGGAGGCAGAGGGCTCCCAGGAAGAGGCCAGTGCAGAAGCTGTGAGGTGGGAACGTGCACGAGAAATGCATGGGGGCCAGTGCGGCCGCGCAGCTCGAGGGGAGAACACGCCAGCTTGTGCCGGTGGCAGCGGGAAGGCTTGTGGCTGATGTGCCCCTCTGCGCACCTGCGCTTCTCCTCCAGTTGAGCTGTGTCTTCTGTGTTTTTTCCCCTACACCTGTGCGAGGCACTCACATGTGCTGTTGATGTGACATTATTTAATGAAATGATATGGAAAACAATGAAATGTGGGTATGAATAAAGAGGTTTTGCTGTTGCTATGAACACTAAGTTGAAAATCCGAAACACTTGTAGGTGAGGACTAAGACGAGCTGCTGTTCAGTAAACTATGAGCAAGACAGTGGTAAGAGTCTGGGATCAGAATTCTTGGAATATGAAAGGACTGGGTACTCAGATGGATGTACAGGTGTATTGAAGATGGTGTTCCACTTTAAAGAAACCCAAACTGGAAATCTTAGACCATGCGTTATGTGTGTGGTTGGTTTAGGTAAGAAAACAATGCACATGCCACTGAATACATCTGTCATCAAGGGCAAGGCCTTGGCCCCACATCATTATACAGGAGCCCCAGGAGATCACAAATTGTCCCATGTCTGTCTTCTGAAAGGCTCCCAGCCTTTCCTTTACTGCCACTTCTGTGGTTCCAGCCAGTCTGGCTGCTTGCTTAGACGCCGGGAGCCAGCCCAGCCCTGCTGTCTGACACAGTCCAGAGGGAGCCACGTGTCCGCACAGCAGACACGGCGGGGGAAAGTACCTGGCACTCCTCTGCTTAATCATTGTATTTCTACCCGTGCTTAGGTCTCTGTGATTTACCATGGAACTGGGACAGATGGCAATTCCACAGAAAAAGTACAGTTCTTCGAAAATAAGCAAGAAAATGACAGCTCATTGGAGAGTGACTCCCCACCAGAGTGTCCTTCTAAGTGGGTTAGGGAGTTCCAAGAATGGGAATGAAAGAGACTCCTAGGATTACTCCCTACGAAAGCCCCTACACCCACCCTTATTACACAATTTCTTAAAACCAGGGCTCCGGGAGCTAGACATAGATTCAAAAAACACATTTGGTCAGCATTGTACCAGTATCCATGGTCTGTTCCTCCTCTAACTCCGAGGCCCACTGATCCCCCTTTACCCTGTACTGGAATCTATCATAAAGGGACACGATGGGTAAATATAAATGGATATTGGGAGGATTATTGTACACTCCCCTTCTGTGAGGCACTTAAGCGATCAGGGGTGGGGGGGGGCCCATGGTGTTTGTTGCCAAAAAAGGTCAGACATCGAAGATGGAAACAAATAATAGAAATGTATCAACACCAAGGTAGATGGCAGGCAGCCGAATGGACTGAGCAACACGAAGATTATTACTTGCATAGAAAGACAGGGTTCTGGCGCTGAAGTGAGGAGTGAGAGACAGGTACTAACCACATTGACCACGAAAGCCTTCCGCATGGCCTTTACCAATGAGCCAAAACAGCCCTGTGCCCGTCTACATGCCCAGCTTGCAGCTTTAGAATATATAGATTAAAAATAAGCTTTAAGAAATTAAAGTGTTATATAAAGTGGTAAAACGTGTTACTGATTAACTGCAAAGATTAGGAGCTAAAAGCTTGCACAATAATATGCAGTTACAATGGATAGCTGTTCCTTATTGTGTCTATGTCATATTTTATGCAGAACACTGACAAAGCAGATATGCCCTGAGAACCTCATTTTGATGGCTTTCACATATGCCACATATGAACACCCAACTATATAAAAATAAAGAACTCCAGAGCCCAGCAGAGATGCCAGGCTGTTGAACTTGAAACTGCACCTCTCGTGTCATTCCTGCGCCGACGCCATCCCTCCACCGGGAATCCCTGGACCTGCTGGAGCAGGACTCCGGCACTTAGAACACTGCAGTGTTCTCCTAACCAGTGTCTCTGCCCTCAGTGTCCCCTCTGGTCCATTCTGCTTAGCACACTTCTAAAATGGTAAATCTGATTGTGCCACTTTTCTGTAAAAGTAAGAGGAACTCTAAGCCCCAACCTTTAGGTCTCGGCTTAAAAGACACCTCTTTTAGGAAGCTCTCCGTGATCACCTGCCCCTGTGATGGGCAGACGTGCCCCAGCCCCGCCACTCCATGCCCTCCAGCGCCTCCCCATCCGGGCTTGCTGACCACAGGGTGTCGTGGTGCCATTGTCCTCCGTGTAACCCCTGGTTGTGAGTCCTGTAAGGACAGTGACTATGTCTCTTACTGGCATGTCACAGGAACTTAATAAATATTTGCTGACTCTCTGAAGGAATGAAGATCCCATTAGAACCCTTTTTTCTGCCATCAGGTTGTCAGTCACTGTCCTCCATCTACAGGGGCTTGGAGTTGCTACTTCAAGTGGCCACAGGAGGGGACAGGCACTCTTGTGCATTGAGTGGGAATGCAGAATGGTGTGACTCTAATGGAAGGGGAAGCTGGCAATATGTAGCAGAATTAGAGCCCTCTGATCCAGCTGTCATAATCATGGTTCTACGCGTCTATCCCCAAGATAGGCTGGCAAAATGATGCCGAGATGTATAAAGTCCTTTTTTGCTCGTAATAGCAGAAAGACTCAAGGAAACAGCCTCAAAGTCCACATACTCTGTGGGGCTCTGAATACTCATATGGGGCATCTGTGCAGTGGAGGGTTCTGCACCCATAAAAGCACCGCAGAGGTTCAGTGATGACGCGGCAGCTCCAGCTCAGTGCACACTGCCAAGTGAAAACAGCAGGGTGTGGAGGAGGGCATAAAATAGGTTACATTTTAAGTACCAGGAGTAGGATGTATATTATTTCTGTCCATTGCTTTAAAATGGAGCAATGTAAAGATAAACCAAAATATTTATGCCTAGGGGAGAGAGAATAGGGAGGGGAAGGGACAAGGATGGAAGGTCTGGTTTTATTGTTTTGGTGTTAGAAGCGTGTAAAGGTTTATTCATTTTAAAACTTGAGAAATAAATAAAAGTTGCTGCAAGGGAAGGAATCTGACGGCTGTAGCAGTGCGCATGTTCCTGGTTGATTCGAAGTCCTGGGTCCTCTTTCACCGGAGCAGGGACTGGAGGGCTGGTAGGAGGCACGAAGTAGTAGCTCCCTTTCCGTGGCTGGACTTACTGTCTGCCAGGGTCGGGGGTGCAGCAGCAGGCCGGAGTCCTCTGCTGGCGTCTTCTTGCCTCTCCGTGCTGAGTCGCATCGCTTTGACCACTGGCCACCCAGCAGTGAAGTCAGGTTCTCACTGGACTTGCAAAGCCAAAGGTGTTCTTTGCGGACTTCTCATGGCACTTGGGCAGTAAGCTGTGCGGGGAGCTCAGCAGTTGGGGAACACAGCTTACTACTCAGGTAGTTTCCCAGGCAGTGGCCTTCGGAGCAGATGTGGAGCCCGTGCTGGAGCTGCCGCAGCGCCAGTGGAATGAATGGATTGTCAGCGGGAACAAAGGGGATATTATCGTCCATCACGTTTAGCATGTTTGCGGTTGTGTGGGAGAGTGGGCGAGGAGAGAGGGCAGGGGTGTAACAGCTGCAGAGAGAAGATTACAGGAAGTTCGGAAATTTTAAACATTACCATTTCATGTTTTGCTTTCCAGATGCTGGGCCAGGCAGCTCGAAATATGGTACTGCAGGAAGATGCCATCTTACACTCCGAAGATGTAAGAAATCATTTCTTTTGTGATTTGGGTTTATATACATAGTTCACGTGGCTGCAGGGAAGTGAAGTGTTCTGTTTCTGTTTTCTCGATGCAGAGTTTGAGGAAAATGGCAATAATAACAACACATCTGCAATACCAGTGAGTATGCCCTCTCGGGTGACTACTTGCTACAGAGTCTTTGTGCTTGGGCTGCCCCTCATTGCCTTGGCGCTCCTGCTTATTTTCCTGTGGAGCAGGAGTTGGGAGGCCAGGTGGGGTTCAAGGATGAGTTTCCCGTGGAAGACGTATCTGAGACTGCAGCTGTTGGGGTGAAGGGTGAGACCAGGAGCAGGAACCGCCTTTTGTGGTCCTTTCTGTGTCAATCTGAGGGCTTCTCAGAGAAGTGCAGTAGAGCCCGTGAGGGCAGGCCCGTGCCGGGACCATGCTGGCATCGCACTGGGACCCAGCAGGCGCCGGATCAGTGCCTGTTGGTTGTCTGTGCTGGAGCCTTCTCCGGGGGAGCCTGCACCTTCACCCGGAGGCGAGCATGACTGTGCCCTGCCTCCTACACTCCCACATGCAGCCCAGCCCTCTCTGTATGTAAATCATCCCGGAGATTTTGAAATGTGAAGACACCTTCTCCATTATAATATTGGATAAAATTATAATTCAATTAGCTTTTCACCTTATTTCATTGTTTTGGATTTTTTGTAGTGGATGTTATACTTAGGTACCTGTTGAAAGTATATGGTTGGGAATTGAACTCTCAATATTTAAATAGCTAAATGTTCATTCTTTGGGCGTGGTCATGTCAGTTACCTGACCATTTGGCTCTATGCTCTCTGCAAACCGAATTCGAGTTGTGCACGTGGTTTCTGGGACCACATCCCACACTCTGTGACAGAATGCTATTACCTCCTCAGGGTCAGAACCCACTTTCCAGCAGCCCTGCTCTCAGATAGGGAACAGGTTCGACAGCACAGACTTGGGACAGGATGGGCAGCAACACAGACATTTTTCAGCTGGACATATATAAGCTGGACATGTGTTCTGCCTGTATACATCTGACCATAAGTAACTTCTCACTCTCTGAGTTTTCTCATGTTTATTTTCCTCTTCTTTTTTCTGCTTTAGGCAAGAAGCTATTCAGAAGAAGTAAGTAACCCACCGCAAGGGGAGTGGGTGGCTGGCTGAGGCAGGCTGGAGGGAATTACGCTGCTGGGCCAGGGTCAGTGTGCAGCTCTGGTCCACAGATGCCCTTAAATTGACTTCCGCTGTGGGATAGCTCATTTGGGATATAAACAATACAGTATATTTCAAAGGTGTGAACTGCTAGTAAAGGCTCTCTGAAAGTTACAGGGTGTAGGGACCAACCTTAAGAAAACTTTTTTAGCTCTGACTAGTGTGGTTCAGTGGGTAGGGCATCATCCAGCAAAGTGAAGGGTCACCAGTTTGGTTCCTGGATCCAATAGGTGGCATGTGCGAGGGGCCACCTATTGCTGTTTCTCTCCCTCTCTGTCTCTCTCCTTTCCCCTCTCTCTCTAAAACAATTATTTTTAAAAAAGAAAACTACACTGGTGATGATCATTGAGTAAATGTGCTAAAATTATTAAATAGCCTTATATTTTTTTTTGAGAGAGAGAGAGAGAGGAAAAGGGAGGGAGAGAAACATTGATCTACAAGAGAAACTTCAATTGGTTGCTTCTCCTGTACCCCCTGTTGGGGGCCCTGGCCTGCAGTCCAGGAATGTGCCCTGACCCAGAATCGAACCAGCGACTTTTCGGTTTGTGGGGTGATGCCCAGCCCACTGAGCCACAACCCTCAGGGCCAGCCAGCCAGCCTTGTTTTTTTTTTAATGGATTAAATCTATCCCTTGCAATACTGTCTACACTACTAATTTGGCATTACAAACCTTTTTCTTTTTTTTTCTTTTTTAAAAAAGATTTCACTTGCGTTTAGAGTGAGGGGGAGGTAGGGAGAAAGAGGAAGAGAAGCATCAGTGTGCGATTGCCTGACACATGCTCCCAACTGGGGACCTGGCCCGCAACCCAGGCATGTGCCCTGACTGGGAATCGAACCACCAACCTTTCGCTTCGCAGGCCGGCGCTCAGTCCACTGAGCCACACCAGCTGGGTCACAAGCCTTTTTCTCATAGTTTAAAAACTGCTGGGCCTCTAGCAGACCAATATACATTTTGATGTAGCTTCAACAGTACTCTCACATTAGAGTGCAAATAATTTGCCCAGGGATGTCTTTTTTTTTTTTTAAACCTCACCTGAGATCATGCCTACTGATCTCAGAGAGAGAAGAAGGGAGGGAAGCAGAGAGGAAGAGAAACATCGACGTGAGAGAGAAACATCAATCTGTTACCTCCTACACGTGCCCCAACCCGGGACCGAACCCTCAACCTAGGCGTGTGCGCTGGCCGAGAATCAAACCTGCAGTCTTGTCTCTGATTTCTAGTGTTGAGCAGTCCTCGGATCTACAGGACCAGCTGAAACATCTGTTGAAATAGAGCAGCTTGTAGGAAGGCTTTGCCTGATCCCAAGGAGGAAACACCGTTGTGCTGTCGGTTTGATTTTCCGTTTTCTTCTCCAGAAGTTAAGTTAGAAAAGGTCTGTGAAGATGTGGAGGTTCTCCGGGAAAGAAGCTAGGCGGCTGAATTTTGGAAGCACTTCTTGAATCCCATGCTAACCCATGGGTAATAACCCGTGCTGTTCTTGAATGTTTAAGTTGCTATATTTTTTTTAAGGTGCTCTATTAGATTGATGTTAAAGCAAAATTAAAAGATGTCTTAGTTTTTCCTAGAGAACTGTAATGTCAAAAGCCATGTTGTTTATGTGTGATTCTTAAACAAATACCAGTAGAGTTTTAAATTCAGAAATAGAGCTATTGTGAATATAGAATTGATTCATATTCTATTAAAAGAATTTTTTCTTTTAATCATAAATTCAGGAAATATTTTAATTTTCTGGTCAAAGAATCGTGATGGGTAATACTTGTTTTCTTTTCTAGTAGTTCGGGAGATACTTATTTTATTCATTGTAGCAAATACCCAAATGAAAATGAGGCAAACCATATCATATCTGGCCAGCTGCAAACTCCTGCCTTGACCTGCATTCCTAGGTTTCTTTGTTGTGACTCTTGATTATGTGGCCTTGGGTTTATTTTGTAACATTGCTAGTAATCAGCAGATTCACGTGTGTGGCATTGCCAAATGCCAAGGCAGTTGAGTTACCGGGAATGACCTCGGCGCAGGGAGTGCCTTGGGGAAAGCCTTATGCTTGTGATCGCTGACTTCATCTTGTTAAATGGCATTCCCATCGTCCACAGTTAAGTCTGAATATCTTTGCTTGGATTTTACACAGGATTCTTTCCTGCTCCACTTCAGTTCTTAATTTACGAAGGGACTGGGAGGAATCCAACATAAGAAAATGAATTTTTCCCTGGAAGGGAAAAAAATGAGTCCAATTTAGTTCACATTACACATCATCGGATTGACTGATCACATCAGATTGCATTTATTCCTCATTGTACATGTACATGTTAATTTAAGGATAAGAAAAGCAAATGAGGTGTGAAGGAATTCACTGTTGCATTTATTCTATAAACTTTTATTATAATTATGAAATATAAACAGGCTCAATTTAACTTAAAAAGAAGGGTTGCAAACTTAGAGCGAATGTCATATTAAGAGGACAACATTTGAAGTGTTATCGATGACATTGCCATCACTGTTTCTCTTCAGCATTTTGTTGGCAGTTATGCCTAGGACAGAACTTAAAAGTAAGTATAACTATAGCAATGAAGGGACAGAGTTATTATTATTATCATATAGTAAGACTATCTGCTTAGAGAATCTAAGGACTGGTTTTTAGAAAAAAGGTCTCCAATTTAGAAAGCCAAAATTCAACCATCTAAGTATGTAAGTACCAAAGAAATACTTAAAATGAGAAATTAAAATAAAAGTATGCTCTGTCATGCTGGAACAAATAGGAAGAAACAGTGATTGCTTACATTATATCTGATAAAATAGATTTCACAATCAAAATGTTAATGGTGAATAAACTTATTTAATGTAAAGATAAAATTTACATTAAATAATAAAAACCTAGCAGTATTGAATTTAGTTATTTTGAAGACCATAATGCCAAACTACATGAAAGAGAAGGACCCAGAAATGTGAGAACAGACTGAAATATAAATATAATTTGATAGTTTTTTAAGATTTTATTTTTTAGAGAGAGGGAAGGGAGGGAGAGAGGGAGAGAAACATCAATCAGTTGCTTCTGACACACCCCCAACCAGGGACCTGGCCCAAACCCAGGGATCTGGACCAAACCCAGACTGGGAATCGAACCAGCGACCCTTTGGTTCATAGGCCAGCACTCAACCCAGTGAGCCACACCAGCCAGGGTGACAGCTTGTTTCTCATAGAAATAGACAGGTTGCATAGAATTAAATGGTGATCAGACATAATGGAAATGAAAAGAACTTCTTTAAATAAATCTGCATTGTAAAGGATATGTTGGAGGGATAATATTTTTAAACTAATGAAAATTCAAATTCTATGCAAGAAAATTTATGTGATGATACCAAAGCATTTGTATAAAGAAAAAGATATGCTTTAAATCTCTGTGTTGGGGTAAGGGTAGAAATAAATGTTTTTTTTAAAGGGGTTTGTGGTTAGAATTTAGAAAGAAAACAAAATAAATCAAAATGGAATAAGAAAACTGAGCATGAATGACAACAATCTGAAAAACATATGAAACCATGAATTGGTTCTTACAGATAAATATTGTCAGCTTAATAATAAAAACACAAATTAATAAATTTATAGTGGCATAGAAAATATATAAAATGAATCAGTTAGATTTAGAAAGAGTTATCTGTCAGCTTGATGCTAACAATTTGATTACTAGTATCAAAATGTCTGGCTCTTGTAAGAATATAATATTACAAAACTGACATTTAGAAGAGACTATGTCAAGACTGGTTAGGAGAATTAATCCACAGATTGTCAAAAAGAACCAATTAAAATGTCGTTTGCTTGTGATGGCTTTCTTGAGACTTTTCTTAACTGTCAAAGAAGATATTTCCATATACTTGTACAGAAAATGATAGTAAGATATCCAAGTTATTTGCTGACCTAATGTGGCTTTCATTAAAAAAATAAAAAGAGCCCTGGCTGGAGTGATTCAGTGGATTGAGCATGGGCTTGCGAACCAAAGCCTTGCTGGCTCGATTCCCAGTCAGGGCACATGCCTGGGTTGCAGGCCATGTCCCCAAGTAGGAGGCGTGCTAGAGGCAACCACACATTGATGTTTCACTCGCTGTCTTTCTCCCTCCATTCCGCTCTCTCTAAAAATAGATAAATAAAGTCTTTTAAAAAAATGCAAGATAACATGAGAAAATTTAGGAGATTCTTAATTATGAACATAGATGCAAAATCTTAATAAAATGTCAGAAAATTTTAATAGAGAAATATTTTGGAGAATTGCTACAAGAATTCCAGAATTGCAAAGTTGATATAATAGCTGCAAAATTCATTACATTAAGAAGCAATAAAATTTCTGTAATAGACACCAGAAAGTCATTTGAAAAAATTCAACTTATAGTTCTTTAAAAAAATCATTATTTTAAAATGATTTTTAAAGATTTTATTTATTTACTTTTAGAGAGAGGGGAAGGAAGAGAGAATGAAAAGAAGAGAAATATCAATGTGTGGTTGCTTCTTGCCCACCCCCTGCTGGGGACTTTGCCTGCAAGCCAGGCACATGCCCTGACCGGGAATCGAACTGGCGACCTTTAGGTTCTCAGGTTGGCATTCAATCCACTGAACCACACCAGTCAGGGCTTAACTTCTATTTCTTATTAAAATTTAAAAAAATTGTTTCTAAAAGAGTATGTTTTAAATCTAAGAACCAACATATAATATTTGGCGAAGACGAGAGAATCACAGGAGCCCGGCATATTAGAGTGGTATGAGGCCTCAAAAAGTGAATAAACTTTGGCCCCATGTTTTACAGATAAAAACTAAAGCCAGGAAGATGAAATGACTTACCGAAGGTCACCGAGCTTAAGTAGGTCTTTTGATTACTAGTCTAGCTCTCGATTTTTTTACTTTCCTTATACATAGAAACAAGGGTTGCTGCCTGTTATTTCTAGTACTTAACATTAATATGAAGGAAGGGATGTTGGAAGTAATTGGATCCAGTCTGTCCCAGCTCTGTGTCTCTGGCGAGTAGACATCTAGCTCCTGCTCGAATGCTTACAGTGTTTGGGGGATCCTTTCCTTAGGGATGCTGGCCATTTTGGAAAACCCTATTTTTTTTTTTAAGATTTTATTTCTTTATTTTTAGACAGAGGAGAAGGGAGGGAGAAAGAGAAGGAGAGAAACATCAATGTGTGGTTGCCTCTTGTGGGCCCCTTACTGGGGACCTGGCCCAAAACCCAGGCATGTACCCTGACTGGGAATTGAACCTACAATGCTTTGGTTCGCAGGCCCATGCTCAGTCCACTGAGCCACACCAGCCAGGGCGGAAAGCTCTACTTTTTGAATGATTTCTGTGTACAGAACCAAGAGCTGACTTTCTGAACTATCCTGTAGTTATCAGATGAGTATACTCCAAAGTGGGGTGTGTGGAGGTTCACACAAAGCCATCCTTGGAGGTAAAGGGAGAAAATATGAAAATTTCTGTGTACATTTCTTTCTTATCTTAAAAAAGAAAATTAGTTTTTGCTAATATTTAAAATAGGACTTGACATAGGAGCTTAATTTGGTCTATGGGGCATACTGATCTACATAGTGTACCTGTCACTTAGCAGGGGTAATATTAACAAGAACAATGAAAACTGTAGCCAAGGCACCGACCCACCAGAATGAATGCAGGTCACAAGGAATGTTGTTCAGAATCAGCCCTGCACACTCGATCTGAGGGAAAACTGGGAATGACTCAGTCTGAATTGACAGTGATTTGCTTTATTGTGGTTTATCTGTGTGTTGTTAAGTGGGTTTAAGGCTTATTAAATGACTCTTATGAATAACCACTAATTGGAGATAATACAACAAAGCAAGCACAAGTGGGCAAGTGGAAATGATAGAGCCCTTTCCTGACGTCCCACTAAGCTGACCCTTCAAGATGGTACAGAAACACTTTAACAAGGAGTGAGAAAGTGCTTTCCTAAAGGAACTAATTTTATAGAGAGGGTGTTTTGTAAACTGATATTTAAGAGAGTTATGTGATTGTAAAAAAAAAGATATGTATGAAAAACTTCTCTTACATACTTCATAGTTGGAAATATTCTTATTTATAAAAAATATTTCAACAAGGATTGTTTCCATGGGTTTAATTTGTTAAGAAAATAAAAACACAACTAGTCTATTCCAAGGTGTATTTAACATTACACCTTCCTTCATATTAATGTTAAATACCTTCCTATTAATATTTAACAACTAACTGACATTAAGGAAGACTGTTATTGGTAGATGAAATTAAAAATGAGTATAATTGGGCCCTGGCTGGGTAGCTCAGTTGGTTAGAGAGTTGTCCCGACACGTCAAGGTTGTGGGTTTGATTCCCTGGTCAGGGCACATACAAGAATCAACCAAAGAATGCATAGATACATGGAACAACAAATAGATGTTTCTTTCTTTCCCATCAATAAGTTTTAAAAATTGAGTATAATTTAGTAAATCTTTCATTTAGGTAGCCTTTCACTTGGAATCCTGTTTCTCCTTATTGTCCTAAAAACAGATATGCTTGTTACAACCACAAAAGGAAATAAGATACACAAATATAAGTGTGGAAGAAAAATAAATAAATGTAACGTTCTGTAAGATGAAATGATAATACCCAGTAGACACACAAGCGAATTGACCAGAAATTACTAGAGGTTAAGCATGAATGGAGCAAAAGTTGCTTTCCTAAATAAAATTCAAAATTGACC